TACAAAATAAACTTTAAAATACCATTTCTAGTAGCTTTCAAAAGCAGAAAATACTAAAGAATAACTTGAATGAAAAATTTGCAGGCTCTCTACAAACACTGAGGGAGGTGACATCAGCAAGATGGTGGAATAGGAGATCGTCTACTCATATCCCCCCTCAGCAACAATAATTTGGCAGCCATCAGTGGACAAAAGTGCCTTTATGGGTTTGGGATTCAGGTAGGAGATTGTGAAACCTGGTGGAGTTCAAGGTCAAGGAGGGCCGTTTTGAGAAGGCAGACTCATTACCAGGTGGCAGGCTCATTGACTATGGTCCTAGAAACAGCTTTGTCCCACTATGGACTTGGCTACAGCCTCATCTGGCCTTGATCCTGCCACCAGTACCATCTGCCAAGGGACCTAGGAGGAATCATGTATGTCTTTGCCACAAGTAACAGGCCTCCTGAACTCATTTCAAAAGCAGATCCTGAAATGGCCCTGTAAGTTGGCACCAGGCCCTCTCAGCCATAGTTGGGAGCAGTTCCATCAACCCAGGTACCTGGCAGGATACATGTTCCCCTATGCTCCAAAAGATATATTCACCAAACTTAGTATGACTGCAAATCCTGAAGTAGCCCTATGATTTGGCTCCAGGCCAGCTCTGGTGCAATCCAGGGGAAATCTCGTCTGCCCAGGAACCCAGCAGGATGCACAACAGCCCATGGCCCCAAAGAGAGTCCTAAAGACCTCAGTCTCCATTGAAAACTCTGAAGAAGCCCTGTATTGGCAGGAGGCATCACATTTACTGATTTTAAACTATATTTCAAAGCCATAGAAATCAAAACAATATGGCACTGGCATAAAAACAGACACATAGACCAAAGACACAGAATAGAAACCCCAGAAATAAACCCATACATATACAATCATATATAGTCAACTAATTGCCATTGACAAGGATACCAAGAATATACAATGGGGAAAGGATAGTTCTTCAATACGTGGTACTGGCTGTGAAGACTGAATATCCGTATGCATAAGAATGAAACTGAACCCTTGTCCTACACCATATACAAAAATCAACTTAAAATGGATTATGTAAGACCTGAAACCATAAAACTCCCAGGAAAAAAATAGGGAAAAACCTCTTTGGCATGGGTCTTGGCAACGATTTTTTAAATATGACATCAAAAGCACAGGCAACAAAAACAAAAATAAATAAGTGGGACTACATGAAACTAAAAAGTCTCTGTGCAGCAAAGGAAACAACCAGTAAAATAAAGGGCAACCTATGGAATGGGAGAAAATATTTGCAAACCATATATATGATAAGAAGTTAATATCCAGAAAATATCAGGAACTCATACAACTCAATAGCAAAAATAATACTATTACTACCACTAATAATAATAAACAATATTTTTAAATGATGAAGAGGCTAAATAGAAAATTTTCAAAAGAAAACATACAAATGGCCAACAGGTACATGAAAACATGCTCAAAATCATTAATCATCAGGGAAATGCAAATGAAAACAAGGAGATATTACCTCACACCTGTTAGAATGGCTATTATCAAAAAGACAAGACATAACAAGTATTGCCCAAGGGTATGGAGAAAAGGGATCCCTTGTACATTGTTGGTGTGAATGTAAGTTTGTATAGCCATATGAAAAACAGTATGGAGGGTCCTCAAAAAATTAAAAATAGAACAGCAATCCCACTTATGGGTATATACCCAAAGGAAATGAAACCAGTATGTCAAAGAGATATTTGCACCCCCATATGTATTGCAGCATTATTCACAATAGCCAAGATATGGAAACAACCTAAATGTCCATCAAGGGATGAATGGATAATAAAAACTATATATATATTTATATGTTGTATTTGTCTATATAAATAAATATAGATAATATTTTTATTTTTTACAGAATTTTTTTATTTTATATTTTTATTGAATGAAAGATTCTTTAAATTCTATGGAGCACTACAATTTTCAAAAGTTTCACACACATGATTTCATATACTCCCATAATAACCCTTTTTCTATCCCCTACCCCTGTATTGCCCCTCCCACCTTCCCTCTTCCCACAGGTAACCACTAGTTTGTTCTCTGAGAGTCTGCTTCTTTTTTTTGTTTTATTCACTAGTTTGTTGTAGTTTTTAGATTCTACATATAAGTGATATAATACAGTATTTGTCTTTCTCTGTCTGACTTATTTCACTTAGCATAATGCACTCCAATTCCATCCATGTTACAGCAAATGGCAATATTTCATAATTTTTTATGGCTGAGTAGTATTCTGTGTGTGTGTGTGTGTGTGTGTGTGTGTGTGTACACATACCACAGCTTCTCCATCAATCTGTTGATGGACACTTAGATTATTTTCATGTCTTGGCAATTGTAAATAATGTTGCTATGAAACCTGGGGTGCATGTATCTTGTACCTGACAACCATTCAGCCACAAGACAGAAATGAGCTCAAGTGGAAAAGAGAAGAATTAACCAGACAAATTCATCCAAGATCATCCAAACCCTAAAAGTGATGTGTATTAACAAAGGTTTACTTTTTATACCATTATTTTATGAGGTAGCTTGTTGCACAGCATCACTGTGTCAATAGACAACTGACACAGAAATTGGTATCAAAGTGATATATTGGCACTATTTATAAAACTTACAATAAGAAGCTGTCAGTGAAAACAGCAGAGTTATGAACTCTGAAAATCACCTCCTCCATAAAAGCTACAAAAATGCTGACACCATTATCAAAATCAATGTTTTCACTACTATGTAATTTAACCAAAGGCTCGTAGCGATTGAGAGTATTTATTGAGAAAAAAACAACTAAATCAGGGAATTAACAGTTAGCTTTTTGCGTTATAACTTTCTGTATTCACACTGCCTCTGCTCCAACTCCATGATATTCATGAAAAATAGCAGTCCACAATCACAATGAAAATGAGTGTCCTAGCAGTCACTGGAGAGAACAGAACAGAATTAGAGATCTGTTATGGACTGAAGGAATTAAAACTTGTACACTAGAAAATATCTACCTATCACAAAAGAAAGCAGTAACGGGAGAATAAAAGAACAGAAATGAAATTACATACAGAAAACAAACAGCAGTTATGGCAGACTAAATCCTACCTTATCAGTGATTGTGTTAAATGTAAATAGATTAAACACACCAATTAAAAGGCAGAAGTTGGAAGAAATAATTTTCAAAAACCCATAATTGAATCACTTACTGTCCAAAAGACACGTATTAAATCCAAAGAAACAAAGTTGAGTTGAATGTAGAAGTGAAAATATACACAATGTAAAAAATGACTAAAAAAGAGCTGGAATATATATACCAATGTCAGACAAAATAGACTCTAGAGAAAAATTGTTACTGAAGATAAAAATGGACATTTTATAATGATATAAGGGTCAATCCATGAAGAAGACATAAGGATTAAAATATATATGCACCAAAAGAAAGCCTGATCATAGATAAAGCAAAAACTGACAGAATTGGAGAAATAGACAACACAACAACAGTAGTTAGATATCAATGTCCTTTATAAATGCTGTCCCCCAAATCCTCAACAAAATGCTAGCAAACCAAGTATATAAAATGATTATATACTATGACCAAGTGGGATTCATCCCAGGAAGGAAAAGGTAGCTAAACATATGAAAAATCAAAGAATAAAGTAAAAAATATATATATCATCTCAATAAGGCAGAAAAAAAAACATTTGGTAAAGCTAAACACCCCTTCCTAATAAAAATATTCAACAAACTAGGGATAGAAGGGAGCTTCCTCAACATGATTAAAGGCATCTATGAAATCTCACAGCTAACTTCAATCATATTTACTGACAAAATCCTGAAAAATGTCCCCCTAAGATTAGAAACAAAGCAAGGATGTTTGCTCTTTCCACTTCTATTCAACATTGTAATAGAAGTTCTAAGCAGGACAAATAGGCAAGAAAAAGAAATAAAAAGCATCCAGATTTTCTAAAAAATTAAAATTTTCTCTATTTGCATATAGATCATGCATACAGAAAATTCTAAGAAGCCTGGAAAGAAACCATTATAGCTATTAAGTTCAGCAAGGTTTCAGCGTATAAGATCAATGCACAAAAATCAGTTGTACTGGTATACATCAGCAGTGAGCAACCTAAAATGAAAATAAGAAAACAATTCTATATACAATAGCATCAAAAAGATAAAACACTTAGGAATAAATTTAACAAAAGTCTAAGACTTATACACTGAAAACTACAAAATATGTTGAAATAAATTACACACCTAAATAAATGGAAATAAATCCTGTGTTCATGGATTCAAAAAGTAATCATTAAGACGGCAATACTTCAAAAATTGATGTATAGATTCATTGCAACCCCTATCAAAATTTCAGCTATCTTTTTAGCAGAAATTGATACGCTGATCCTAAAATTCTTATGGAAAGGCAAAGAAGCAAGAAAAAGGAAAAGAAAGTTGGAAGGGACACTTTCCTAGTTCAAAACTTACTCTAAAGCTACAGTAATCAAGACTGTGTGTTATTGTCATAAATATAGTCATATAGATCAATGGAATAAAATTGAGAGTCCAGAAATAAACCTATACCAATTTATGGTCAATTGATTTTCAAGAAGAGTGGCAAGTTAATTCGATGAAAAGAGCATAGTCTCTTCAATAAATGTTTTGAGACAACAGGATATCCCATGCAAATTTATTAATTTGGACCAGCTTACCAAACAGCTTACAGAAAAAAAAAGACACACACACACACACACACACACACACACCCCTCTGGATATTAAGGAAAAGCCCTATTATCCTTGACTACTTCCCCTGCACCTTTTCCATCCAGATAGCTCACAAATATTTGGCCCAGGAAAACCTTTCTTCATTCAAAGATGTGCTCAAAAAACACCAGGCCCAAATCTGTAAAATGGATACTATGAGAAATAAAAAGGAATGGAACAGAGAAAAATTAATATCACATGAAGAATACTCACTGTTAAAGGTTGTCACAGATTCACCAACTTCTATGTTCCATATTGGCTTCTGAGGTTATTCGGACCAACTCCTCCAATGAAACAATTCTGGACGGAGGGAACATGAATAGTATTAAAACCTGGTAGGCTAGCTGAGCCTCCGTAGCTCTGGGGTTAGAACAGTGTTCTCGTAATAACTGGTAGGCTGGGAAGGAACTATCAGCCTCATATGAAGAGAGACTGTAAAGGAGGCCCAGAGCCTGCCTAAGCAAAAGAATTTAATAGCAGACTCTCTCCAGATGGATTTGAGATCTCATAGGACTATATCTTCATGGTAAGGGTAAAACAAAAGTAAACCCATTCCCATCTCCAATCTCAAGGAACTTCAGCAAAGGTTGTCTTGGTACTGAGCAGAGCAAGGAGTGAAACAGCAAGAATATGTATCCCTGATAAATCATAGCTGTAGTCTGGCTGTCACATATGTTTGTAGTTCAGTTCCACATTGCTTGAGTACTACAGGAAACCTCAAGATAGGAATTGGGGAGTGGGGGGCAGTTATCGCAGATTATCAGTGATCCCAGGCACACAGCAGAAGCAGGCTTCATACTAAACCTTTCACATTTGGGATTTTACTATTTGTTTCCTGAATAAGAGTGGACTTCAATTTTAATATCTTTTTCATACTTTGTGTGAGCTTGGTATCAAAGTTCTGCTAGCCTCATAAAATAAACTTAGGATGTTTCCTCTTTTTTTATTTTTTAGAATTCTTCATATAAATTGGAATGCTCTATCTGGAAAAAAAAATGCAGGTCTAGTGTTTTATCTGTTAGACCAGTTTTAATTAATTCTTCATTTCCTTTAATGTTTATGACTATTAGATTATATATTTCTTCTTGTATCACTCTTAGTAAGTTATATATTTATAAATCTGTCCATTTGATCTAATTTTTCAAATTTTTGGTATAAAGTGTTTAGTATATTCTCTTATTAGCTTCTTTTTTTTTTTTTTTTTTTTGCGGTACGCAGGCCTCTCACTGTTGTGGCCTCTCCCGTTGCAGAGCAACAGGCTCCGGATGCGCAGGCTCAGCGGCCATGGCTCATGGGCCCAGCCGCTCCGCGGCACGTGGGATCTTCCCGGACCGGGGCACGAACCCGTGTCCCCTGCATCAGCAGGTGGACTCTCAACCACTGCGCCACCAGGGAAGCTCTCTTATTATCTTCTTAATCTATATTGTATCCATAGTTATGTACCCCTTTTAATTCTTAATCTTATTTGTGCTTTCTTTCTTCTTTTCCTTAATTCATCTTGCCTGGGGTTTGTCTATTTCATTATTTTTTTCAAAGAATGAAACTTTGGCTTTATTGATTCTATTTCATTTTATTAATTTCCACTGCATCATTATTATCACTTCACCTTAGTTTTTCAGAATTGATTGTGTTGTTTCTTTTTTAATTCTTAAGGTAGATACCTAGCACATTAATTTCCAAGTTTTTCTTCTTTTCTAGTATAAACATTTAAGCCTATAAATTCTTATTGAAACACCACTTTTGTTGCTAATCACAAGTTTAATCCCTAATATTTTCAAAATCATTAAGTTCTAATTATTCCATTATGATAATCCATGAATTGTTGAGAAGTATGCATTTATGTTGATTTTGTTATCAAATTCCAACTTAATTGTACTTTGATTTCCACTAGTTTTCAATCACAATCTTTTTACTAGTTGTCTAAATCTCCTCCCAAGACTTTAGTCACATCAATCGCTCTATCATCTTGAGGAACACTCTCCTGGAGCCTACTGACCTGCAAGAATCTTGACAGACTGCCCTCTATGTCAGGTTCAAACCTGTCATCCCAAGATCTCCCTTCACTGTTCTAGGGATTTCATTTATCTCTCCTGCACTGTGCCTCCTATTTTCTGCATCCCACATCTTCCTCTTTCTTGGTTTAATTCTTTCTTTTGGTGGAGAAAAATCTCCAGTAGCTTCCTGAGAAAAGCACACAGGAGGTTAACTATTTGAGAGTTCATATGTCTGAGAGTATGTTTTACATATATATTTAATTAGTTTATATATGTCCAGAATCATTTTCCTTACAAATTTTTAAAGTATCATTCCATTGCTTTCTGTTTTATATTGATGATGTTGAAAATTCTTAAGCCATTCTGATTTTATTTTTAATCCTCTGGAAATCTGTACAATTTTCTCTTTGTTCCCAGTGTTCTGAAATTTCACACTGATGTATCTTGGCATGAGTCTATTTTCATCTATTTTTGTGGGTGCTAGTCTTTTAATATATAAATGAACACCTTTAAGTTCTACAGATTTTTCTTGAATTATTTTGCTGACATTTCCCCCCCCCTCCATTTTATGTATTTTCTTCTTTCTAGAACTCATATAATTAAAATATTTGAGAAAATTTTCTAGGAGAAGAAAAGATAGCTACACTGATTCTGAGCTTCAACATTCTCCCCAGCTATAGAAAAATGAACATATGTGTACAGAGCTTTGGGATTAAAGATGAATAAATCATTGCCCCTGCCTTCAATGAGTTCCCAGTCCAAAGGGAGACAAGTAAAAATGATGTAGAAAAAGGGTATTTAAAGTGCTATGGGAAGCCACAAAAAGGACAGAGTAACTGTGACAGGAAACTTGGTTGGGGCAGTTGAAGACTAGGAAGTCTCAGAATGTGCTTCTACTGTGTCACATCTGAGCATAAGCAAGAAGAATGGAGCTTAATCTTTGTGAAGTCACAGACCTTTGGGGGGATGTAATGAAATCTATGACACTTCTTCCAATAAAAATACATGTAACACACATACACACACATGTATATTTTGCTTCCTAACTCAGAATGTGCAGTGTTAAGAGCTCTTGGTATAGAAGGATGTGTAGACAAGAAGAGGAAGAAAGTCCATACAGAGGAAACAGAATGTCAAAATCCTGCCTGCAGACATGAAAATCCTGTACATTATTGGAGTGGAGGAAACTGTAACATAATTGAGTATGATTGGAGCATAAGCTGTAAAGAGAGTCAGGCATGTCATAAGATGAAAACAGAAGATACATAAGAAGATAAACACGGATAAAGCATGAAGTACCTCAAATGTCAGTCAGGTACTCTGTTTACTCAGAGACTATACCATGATTGAGAGAGCTTACACAGGGCATGTCAATCCTCTCCTAACTGCTAAAAAATATAACTGGAAGAGCTAGTGCCCAGTGGAATACTAATTGATATTCCATGAGTGTGGAGTTTCACTGGCATTCACTGTAGGTGTTGAGTGTGCACTACTCACTTCTCAAGCTTACAGCTTTATGAGAGAAAAAAATGTTAGAATGAAATCAAAAGCCCCTGAATATCAATTATTTTACGCCTTAATAATGTACAGCAGAATGTCAGTCTTCAATAAACTGTAATGGTTCTCAACACTAGCAGCAAATTAGACTTACCTGGGGAAATTTCAAAAACCATACCATGCCTGAGGTCCACCCCAAACTAAATAAATTAGAATATGTTGGGTGTAGCCTGGGCCTCTGAATTTTTTGAAGCTCTCCAGATAACTTTAATGTGCAACTGGAATGGAGAACTACTATGTTAAGAAAAACACCCCACAAAAGCAAATTCCTACCTACTAGTCTAGTCTTAATTCTTTCTTTTATTTTTTTAACATCTTTATTGGAGTATAATTGCATTACAATGGACTGTTAGTTTCTACTTTATAACAAAGTGAATCAGTTATACATATACATATAAACCCATATCTCTTCCCTCTTGTGTCTCCCTCCCTCCCACCCTCCCTATCCCACCCCTCTAGGTGGTCACAAGGCACTGAGCTGATCTCCCTGTGCTATGCAGCTGCTTCCCACTAGCTATCTATTTTACATTTGGTAGTGTATATATGTCCATGCCACTCTCTCACTTTGTCCCAGCTTACCCTTCCCCCTCCCGGTGTCCTCAAGTCCATTCTCTACTAGGTCTGCGTCTTTGTTCCCGTCTTGCCCCTAGGTTCTTCATGACTTTTTTTTTTTTTTTTTAGATTCCATATATATGTGTTAGCATACGGTATTTGTTTTTTTATTTCTGACTTACTTCACTCTGTATGACAGACTCTAGGTCCATCCACCTCTCTACA